GCAGCCCCTTGTTCACGAACCACCCGGATCTGCTTCTTTTCTTTGATGATGGTTTCGAGCAGGAATCCGAGACGTCAGACGATCATGTCTCCCTCTTCACGACTGCAAAATTTGTTAAACTGCAATACGCACTATTTGGAAAGTGTAAGATAGGAATAAGACGTGACTTATTACGGAATTTGTACAAAGAAGAATACTTTATTTTTGCTTTACTTGAAAGAATCTTTGATTTATGGTAGCATCAAAATTTGTCAGACAAAATGCATCCAACGACCGACATCCTGGTCTGAGCGAAAAGTTTTTAGGTTATGCCACGTAAGGCTCAATATTACAATTCCGCTTAACTGTTCCTTATATTTGACATCTCATTTCAGATTTTCGCTCAATGCATTTCAAGCCCTTTGTTTTCTAAATCTTACAGTTTCACAGCATAAGTACGAGGTAAAGACAAAGAAAACAAGAATGGCCGCTTGGGACTTGTTAGCCGTCCACTGTTGTCCAGACCGTAACCGTACTTGGCATTTCTTTTGCCTTATTAATCCGATTAAAAGGGCAAAAATATTTTATTTCTTCGATGGAATATGGGCACTGCAAGTAGTAGCGGTAGTAATGGCAGTAGAAACTGTGCTACCATTATTACTATTTTTACCGCCTTGTTGTTTGGTGTGCGATGGTCTGCATAATGGCCCTCTGCCACATAAAAAGTGGTCGCGGGAAGTCCAAAAATTACCTTACAAATGTGGCATTTTGTCTATTGTCGTAAACTAAGGTTTGAAGTCTACAAAGGTCATCCTAGGGTAAATGAGCTTTTTTGGCATTTTTAAAGGCTAAAATACTGTTCGAGTCCTTTTAAGGCTTATGGTTCCGACTAAAGTATGCATTTATTTATGAATCTGGTAGTGCCATTGCATCTACATGCTTATGACTGCGACAGCAATGTCGCCAACGTCTCCCCCTTTCAGGTTCTACGTTTTTAGAAGCAACATATGATCAACAGCTCTAGGTACGCCATGCAATGAAATAATTAACTCCGAGTGGGCTAACCGCTATGTTTTAGACGTCAGGAGACTAAGTAGACAGAATGCAATGCAATTCCCTATTAGTAATCCCTAAAAGACATTTTCTTTGTGATTAACGGTTTGGATATCAAAGGTAAGAAATCCGGACTTATAATCTAACAAACGAGAATGGCTTACCGCTCAGGGGAATTGCGTGGCTGACGTTTCGGAGGGTCTGACTGGCTCTACAGTATCAAAGCGTCTTATGCGAAAAATTGACCGGGATTTTAAATAAACGACCAAAATAGTTGGCCTTTGGCTGAGTAACTTTTTCTTCTTTTGTGAAAACTGGCGGTCCCCTGCGTTGTGTCATCACTTTAATAGGAGGGTAAGACTTTCTGTTCTTGAAGTACCCCTGGTTGAGACGGTTGATCCTTGGAAGTCAAAACAGTGGCCAATTTCTCCGTTGTGAGTCGCAAGCTATGAGCTCGGGTCTAGTCACCTAGTTGCCAGCTCGTGCTCGTGTAGGCGGGTCTGCGATTTCCGTATGGTTTCTCCAGCGTTATTGCAGTATCCATCGTCACAATGTATCTGATAGAGAGTAACAGAGGTTTCAGTGGGTGACGGTGTGTCTTTGGGGTGCATCAAACGGTGACGAATTGCTGCCCGGGGTTCAAGGGGCGATGCCTAATTTGGCGGGTTGTAATAGTCGTGGAACCGTCTTGAAGAGTGCTTCAACGAAAGAAGTAGCCCTCTAGACTTCAGGGTGCTCTTCTTATGGCCGCCATCTTTTCACTCGGCGCTTGCTTTGCTCGACAAAATAAATTAGGTATCCACTGGCCCGAAAACGCTCATGAAGGTATTGTCGTTCAGCTCTTTTTCAGCTAATATGCTGCAGTATGTTTCAAATCTTTGAGGTACAGTACGGACACAACCATGTTTATAAGAGAGGGGATGATTCCTGTTGAAGTGTAACAGTTGTTTTGTGTTGGTGACTTTTATGAAAGCAGTAGTCTGTACTTGGCCATTGGCACTTCGACGCACAAGGACATCGGAGAAGAGCAGTTTGTTGTTGGTTTCTGCTCCCATCCTGAATTGTACAGTGAGTGGGCTAACTCACGAAATCTCAAACGCAATTCAGAAATGCGTTCTAGTTTCGGAAAGATTAACTAAGTAGGATCGTAAAATTAGTCAGCCTGCAACATAATTCTATAATATTTCAGTTGCCTCGGGATGCCGGCTTTCGAATGAACTTCCCTCCGGCTGCATGCACAAACTACACCCTACAAAAATGACTACTTAATAGCATGAATTTTCTCGTTGATTTTCGATGCCCTTAATAGTCCAATTATATTTCAGGGAAAACATGCATATAATTATTCATTCTTTTGCTCATTCGGTAGAAAATTACGTCTTCTGCTAAATTTATGCTCAAAGAAGGGACATAATTTGGTCTTAAAAAGTTTCTAATTGTGGGGCTTTTAAATACCGTGAAATGGCCGTTCGTAAATCGTCATGTATCTGCATTTACCAATTTGGCACGTAACGTTAACAACATGGACCAAATCCTCTGTAAAATATTATGAACCATATATGGTCCGCCTTTATTACCGTATAAAATTGTGTGGTTTTCCGTACGCGAAAATATACAGCATGTAGTAGGGAAACCCTGAATCCAAGTGTAACGCTAGAGAGAGTTCAAAATTAATCGGGAATTAGAAATGTTTTTGAAAACCGAATTATATCATTTCTTTAAGCATAAAACTAGACGAAGACGTAATGTTATACCAAATGAGCAAAAGAGTGAATAGTTATATGCATGTTTTCCATGAAATATAATAAGACTATTAAGGACATCGAAAATCAACGAGAAAATTGGCGCTAATAAAGTAGTCATTTTTGTAGGGTGTAGTTTGTGCATGCAGCCCGAGGGAAGTTCGTTTGAAAGCTGGTATCCTGAGGTAACTGAAACATTATAGACATATGTTGCAGGTTGACTAGTTTTGCGACCCTGCTTAGTTAATCTTTCCGAAACGAGAACGCATTTCGAAATTTCGGCTGAGATTTCGTAAGTTAGCTCACCTACTGTATATTCAGGTCAACTGAGTTCAGTAATTGTTTAAGGTGTTTCACGTCAGAAGATCACACAATGGTGACAGTGTCATCGACGTAGCATGCTTAGAACCCGTAAGATTAGGCATTACCCCTTGAGCCTCGTTCCAAAGCCAACTATTTCGGGCGTCTGTTTAAAATTCTCATCAACTTTTCGTATAAAACACTTTGATTCTGGAGAGCCAGCTAGGCCTTCCGAAACGGCAGCTACACAATTCCCCTGGTCCGATGAGCCATCCACATTTCTCAGATTAGCAGCTTATTTATAGGCAAATAACGGGGTCCTCAGGAAACCAGACTGCGCTAATCATCTATGAAATGGAAGGCCCACTGCAATTAGAAAAAATTTAAAGCTTTCTTCTCCGTTTTTAGGACCTTTAAAATAAACGAAATTAAAAAGTCAGTTTGTTTGTTTCTGCAGAGTTCATATAAGTATCTGGCAGTTCGCAGTGACACTTGTTAATTTGTCTTCTTCAAAATAGTTTTAAACTATAGTTGTGGTCCGATGGTGGGATTATTCGACACCAGCCTATACTCAGATGCGAGGTCCATTCAGACTTCTCGTTTGTCTTTAGGGCGATGCATTGGCAGCTGTTTGACTTCCAGAATTTCGCACAACCACAAAGCCCATTAATGGTAGTCAGTCTCAAAATAATTAACACTAAAGGGCATTTATTGTCAGGTCTTTCGAATTTTGGGAAACTCTTGATATTTATGAGTGCGGTTTTCCCTGCATATCCGAACAAAATGCGCGAGTCCGTTAAAGCGATCATTATTTAAAGAGTGCTGTAAAGAGCGTTGTAATCTACCGATTTTATTGGCGCTACAATGTTTAAACTGACTACTGACTAATAAATATTCGTCAAACTTTGGCATGTTTGCGATCACCTTTACCACCAATAAGCTTGAATAGTAGTTTTAACGAAAGCCATCAAGATATTTGATATTAAACTCGCGTCTCGAGAGAGATTATTTGGCTAGATCGCAGTTGGTAGCCCGGACCCGCATTACAGGTGGCTGGGGGGGTTGTTTACTGGGGTTATTTTGGGGGGCTCGATAATCACATCTGACACATTTGGCTTCCGTTTTACGTTTGAGGTTAAGATTAGGGTACCGGCTAATGGTTTCCGATTTTCCGGTTAGGGTTTTGCCTTTAGGCTTAGGTTTTCGGATTATGGTTAGGGTTTGTGCGTACGAAAGGGTTCCAGTATTACGGTTAGACTTCTCAGTTACGGCTATGTCTAAGGGCTACGGTTACGTTTACGATTTCGGCTAGGGTTAGGGTTGTCTTTAGGGTTAACGGTTATCGGTAACGGTTGAGGTTAGGGTTACGGTTTAGGTGGGTATTAGGGTTAAGGTCGCCGTCCGCTTCCTATTCCGGGCTACCAACTGTGATCTAGCCGATCATTTTTCCCTCAGCAGTGCATGGATCAATGAATAAACTAAGGTACCTGGATGTTACATTTAAAAACGTTCTCTTCATTGCTTAATCTCCCTTTAACTATATGGTGAAATGATTTCATACATTCATTAAGCGCAGGCTGTTCGAATAAAGAGTGCTTGATTGTACCGAGAACCTGTATCAAAATTTTAAATTTTCACGTTGTGTATTGCCAAAACCGCAATATTTTGCACCGTTGTTGGAAAACGAAGGTAGAGACGTAAGCTACAGGTTCTTGCGGGCGCCCGTCCGGAAACTGCTACGCATGAGGAGGCAAAATACGTGCCACCATCCAGGTTTGTTGGCACAGGCGCGACCACGGCCGCAACAAGTACTTGTGAGCAATGCGCTGAAGCAGGTGGATACTCCCACTTCGTCTCGTCCCGCCCTAGCACCCAACTCTCATCTCTGCTGCATGCTGCTGTGCTTACCACTGCATCCACACCCCGATGGCCGCCCTTGACTGGCGGACTAACCTGGATGGGGGTGTCCGATGTGTGTGTGTTGTTCCTCCCAAACGTGGTGGATGCACTAGACCAACAAGGGGGACGTATCGGAGTCTGGTAGGCGGCATAAGTCTCATCGACGTTTCTGCGAAGAGCTTCGCTATTGTCCTACTCAGGCGATTCCAGGCTGTGCGTGACTCAAGGACGAGGCCCAACCAAGCCGGATTTCGTGCTGAACATGGATGCGCAGATCAGATATTCACACTGAGGCGCATTCTCGAATTTCGGCATAGCTACCAAAAACCGACGGCCGTCTGCTTCGTTGACTTTGCCGCCGCGTTCGATTCCCTTCACCGTCAGTCCCTGTGGCGGATAATGGCGCTAGATGGTGTACTGGCAAAAATAATCGTCATGATCAAGACTTACTATCGCTCCACTACTGCGAGAGTCCTGGTCCGTAACAATCTTTCCCAACCGTTCGGTATTCGGTCTGGCGTCCGACTGGGTTGTATACTGTCGCCCATACTGTTCAACTACGCTATTGACTGGGTCCTCGGGAGGGTCCTACGCGACAGTGACGGCGTTGAATTTGCACTCGGACATCGACTGACTGATCTGGACTATGCCGTTGATATCGCCTTACTTGCGTCAAGTTTTGGTGATCTGCAGTCTATGGTGTCACGGGAGAACGAGGTCGCTAAATCAGTCAGTTTGTCCATAAACGCTGCGAAGACCAAAGTATTCTCCAGCTGCATCCCTGACCAGGAGAAGGCACCCCTGGGGATTGATGGCTGTCAACTTGAAGAAGTGGACAGTTTTAAATACCTCAGTGCGAGGCTGCTGCCTAATGGACAGAGTAAGGACGACATCGTCTCCCGAATCGATGCTACCCGCTGGGTTTTCTCAAGCCTTCGGAAATGCCTATGGATCTGACGTGACCTCTTCATCGCCACTGAGATTCGCCGTGTACCGTGCATCTGTCCGGTGTGTCCATCTCTACGGTTGTGAATGCTGGGCTTTGCGCGTGGAGGATGAGAGAAAACTGGAGGTGTTTGACCACCACTGCTTGAGGATCATCCTTCGAGTGAGGTTAACCGACTTCGTCTCAAATGAGACAGTCCGCGCTCGCTGCGACGACATCGCAAGGATAACTCAGGCCATCCAAGAGAGACGACTGAGGTGGTTCGGGTATGTTCTTCGTCGTCCACCTCAGGAGCTCAGTGTTACTGCCCTCGATCCGGCACCGTTGCTCCATTGGAGGCGTCGAAGAGGAGGTCAGTTCAAAACCTGGCTCGACCCTGTCCGTCAAGACATGGAGGTGGTTCTTGAACCTTCGGTATTCGGTCTCCGTCGTTGGCGATGGGAATAGGTTGAGCTGTCTAGATCTGCTGCCGCAGATCGTCACGCGTGGAGAGGTACAGTTCGGGACATCATCGAGGCCGGCTAGATCAGGCATGATTGCAGCCGTATCAAATACAAGTACAAATGGTAGGCGTTATCAAATGCTAACATTTTGGGGTGCGGTAGCATAGCCGGTTGCCGCCAGCCGTCGCGCACAGTGGTATCCCTGCCCCCCCCCCTTCATTGTTGTTTTTGGTCAATAATCTGATCACTTGCTGTGTGAACCACGGTACAGACTCGACCACGCCATCCACCTACGCCCTCCCCCTCTCCCGGTCTTCCTGACTCTGTCTTCACACCGGGTCCGGATGGGGGAGGAGGAGAGAATGCGCTGGATGCAGTGCAAGTCCACTACCACATCAAACTAACTCACTTGAAAGTCACCGTCCTGACTCTCACCCTGCTGGGGAGCACACGATATGTACATCGACGACAGAGGCGGTCAAATTTTCGTGCGTTAATCCTCATTCTTCTTTATTACCTCCAAACAAAATATCTTACGTGAAAGGCAACAAGCAATACCGCAGGCAGCCCGGCGACGAAAAGGAGGAATTTGACTGCCGCATGGAATGATTAGGCAACCGTATTTAGATGTGGCACTGTTTAACCCTGCGCGAGGATGTAAACCAAAAATGCGTCACAAAATCGCCGGAAAAGCACGCCATCGGCAAGCCAGTAAGGGCTTTGAGGTGCAAAATTTGCCGTTAAAACGGGGTATAAATTAGAAATCACCGTCTCCATCTCTGTGTCCATGCGCAGGCTGTCAGAGGGACATTGTGCACCCTGGCGAACCAGCAAACTGACGCCTGGAGCATTCCCCCCCCCATACCAAAGTAAAGAACGCTTAGCATGTCCACTCCGCCCAGGATGCGTATCAAAAACAGCAGAATTCAAAGCAACATCACCCCAAGTAACCCGCCTCTCATACCGGGACATTTTTATGTCACCGGTACAGCCTTATCTACACTAGAAGACATCCTCTTATCCCGTTCATCTTGATACCGAGTGGAAAAAATCGCGCATGAGCCTGCTCGGTCACTTGCGAATCCACTGTCCTGAGGCCGACGAGTCGCTGCCATGACTCCCCAACATCATGCGCCCTACCTGCACGTGCTGTTTCAGGTCCGACGGTCGTTGCATCGAGACCGAAAGTCATCCGGGTACTTCGTCGAACCCTCTTACACGCACATACAACACTTTACGTGAACCTACTCAACAACACGCGCCTATGCGATGCCTCCTTCACTCAACTAACCGAGCATCACTCTAAAAGCAAACGCGTGATCCAGTTTTCCGACGCCGATATAGCGGGCAAAACGTCACATATACAGTCGGTGAGCTAACTCATGATATGTCAATCGAAATTTCGTGGTGCGTTTTCGTTTTGAAAAGATTGATTAAGTAGGGTTGTAAAAATACTCATCATGCAGAAAAATTCTATAATAATTTAGTTACCTCAGGATGTCGGCTTTCGAACGAACTTTTTCCGTCTGCATGCAAAAACCACACCCTGTAAAAAATGACTACGTTAATAGCACGCATTTTCCTCATGAACTTTTGATGCCTCTGAAAATTCAATTATATCTCATGGGACACATGCATAAAAATGTTTCTTCTTTTGCTCATCCGGTAGGAAATTACGTCTCAAAGAAAGGATATAATTCGGTATTAAAAGGCTTCTATATTTAAGATTTTTTAATAACAAGAAATGCCCGTTCATAAAACATTGTGTCTTTACATTTACTAATGTCGTTTGCAAAGTTTACAATCAGGCTCAAATCCACTACTAAATTTTATGAACCCTACATAGTCTTCTCATAATACTGTAGATAAATGTATAGCGTTCCGTACGCGGAAAATATATGGTTTGTAGTTTGGAAACCCTGAAAGTAAGTGTAACGCCGAGTCGGGTTCAAAATTTTTCGGGAATTCAAAATGTCTTTGAATACCGAATTATATCCTTTCTTCGAGCATAGAACTGGTCGTTGACGTAATATTCTACCCAATGGGTAAAAGAAAGAATATTTTTATGCATGTTTCCCATGAAATATACTTGAGTTTTTAGGAGCATAGAAAATCTATAAGAAAAATGCGTGCTAATTAAGTAGTCCTTTCCTACATAGTATAGTTTCTAAATGCAGCCGAAAAGAAGTTCGCTCAAAAGCTGGCATCCTGAGGTACCTCAGTTATTGTAGAAGTACGCTTCATAATGACCACCTTTACAACCCCAACTAAGTAGTCTTCTCGAAACGGAAACGTTTTTCAGAATTTCGGTTGATATTTCATGAGTTAGCCCACCTACTGTAAGAACACACTTGCCTTATTTAATTGGGAGGCATCTCATGGTAGCCTGGTTTATGAAGAGAGAACCAGCACAAGTGCGACACGCGTGGACTGGCGAATTGACTCTTTCCGCCACCGGGTTTAATTCCATTTCCGGTTGGACGGCAAGCAGTCGTAATCCATTAGTAAACGAGAGACAAGAGGGAGAAGTCGACGCGGGGGACGTCATGCATGCTGCAAATCAGCCTCTGAGGCCTGATCTGCAAGGTTGCAAAATAATGGGTCACCTCGACCCCTCTCCGAACTCCAGGTCAAACAGCAGTGGCGCATTGGCAGGACGTTTCTGACACTCGCCCAAATGACATCTAATCCAACACCCATTACAGCCTCGCTGATATGAACAGAAACCAGACCGTGTGTGCCGCGCGTAGACGTGCTGTCTAGCCATATCCGACATTAAATTCGTACTCGCCTTCAGTTGTCTTGACTTCATCACCAGGGCATCATTGGTGAAGAGGGCGAGAGTGCGGTAAATGCTGCGCCGCCGTAAGTTAATTAAAGCACAAGTCGCCGCTGCTCGCTCCCCCTCATGTGGATGAGGCGGACTTCGTCAGCCGAGATAATTATATTGTCAAGTGTGTCTGTGTGTCGGGTGTACTGTATTCGGTTTGCGCCTCTAATTGTCTACACAGTTGACGCGCTGAACCAACAAAAGAGCTAGACGGGAGTCCGGCAGGCGTTATCGCGAATGCACACCCCCCTAGTAAAGGCGAAAATTGAGGGGTATGTTTGCAAGCCCATTTGCAGGCTCACGCCGCGACCGTTGGGCTCGTGACGCACCCCGTATTTGGTTTGGTAAAAATCCTGGCCAGTATGCTTTGTGGACCAGGAGGTGTGGTAGAACGACTTGGCGTGGGATTTTGCCGTTTCAGTGTTGTGTATACCCTCCTGCCTCCGCTCTTCATGACTCTATCATGACACCATGCCAGGCTGGGGAGGAGGAGAGAGTGCGCTAGATGCAGCGTAAGTCCACCATCACCTTAAACCAACTTGCTCGAAAGTCACGGCCTCTGCTGTCACCTCGCTAGAAAGCACACGGTGTACATCGACGAGACAGGCAGTCGAATTGTTGAATATCGGGCTACCTGGTCGTAAACTTTTTATCTGAACTTTGAATTTAAACTTCTTGGCAGTTGCTTAATCTGTTGGACGGCTCGCTGAATTACGAATCCCCTATTTGGCCGCATTACGATTTACATTTTCGCATAAGTTCATAGGCAAATAACAATCTAGCATGTGGCGGTCTATTTGATTTGAAGGAATGTCGCGTGAGCGCCGCCTAATTCTCTCCTGTAAAAATGCACCCCCCAATTAGAATCATTCTTTGAAACTTTGTATAGGGATATTTTTATTTTATAACACTTTGTCATAAAATGGAAATCAAAATTAATTTATCGGTGTTATTCAGTAACCTGGAAAATGCTTTAGAGTCTGAAATACTCAGTGGCTAGAATTAAGTTTTTGCAATTGATCTTGTAATTGTGAAATTAGCAAAGCCTGATTAAACTAGGATGTGCTTTCTCATACCTGTACAATTAAACGAAGTCTAATTTTCCAGGCGGGGGAATAGAACAGTAAGGAGCCTATGCACCATATCGATAAAATAACACTTATGGCAGATGGGCGCTCACCGATCAGGTTAAAGAACATGCTCGTTCTGTTGTGCCTTGGGGCTCATACTTAAACCCTCGCAGGCAGTCACACAGCGACTAGTGATATATGTTGAGAAGGTGATACCGACAAAGACAAGGGAGACCGGAATGGCCAATTCTGGCTTATTAGCCGTCATCAGCCAGTCATACCCAACCTAAAGTGTGGATCACTTGAGGTTCCAATCCGGGATCTTTGGTCATGGAGTTTGACGCACTACCATTGAGCCACGGGCCCGTTGTCCTGTCGGTTGTGATAGGTAAATATCAATTATGACAGCTGGGCGCTCACCGATCAGGTTACAGAACATGCTCGTTCTGTTGCTCAATGGTAGAGCGTCAAACTCCATGACCAAAGATCCCGGGTTCGAATCTCAAGTGATCCACACTTGGGGTTGGGTATGACTGGCTAATGACGGCTAATAAACCAAAAATGGTCATTCCGGTTTCTGTTGTCTTTGTCGGTATCACCTTATCAATAACACTATATTTATACAACTGCCCTACACACTTAATGTGTCCGAAGGTATGATTTAAATA